TTTTGTTGTCATCTGCTGAAACTGAAGAATTCTAATTTCATGTGGTCTTATGGATAAGGTAAACTGCAGATTTCTGTTTCTCTGTTGTTTGCCCCCACCCCTCCCTCCAGCAGTGTGAGATGGCTGTGGCTGCACTGCCCAGTGTGCTAACTCCTGCTCAGTGCAGACCTTGCTGTGCCTGGAGAAACCTGCTGTGTTGTCCTGGGCTGTTTTGGCTCTGTTTTCCTTCAGACAGGTGGGTGATCGTGGCATGTTGTGCCTCACCCAGTGCTGGGGCTGCAGCTTCTCTAACACCACTGTGACTGCTCTGTGCAGTGTCTGTTGCTGCTTTGCTCAAGACTACGTAATTAAGTTTCAAAGGACTCTTAACTATACCTCAGTCAGCTCGTTCGTGTTCTAATGCCCGTTGGAATGGAAGTCATCTAAGTATCGCTTGTTAAGCAGCAAATGTTTCTGTTTTGTTATTGGAATGGAAGTCATCTGAGTATCGCTCGTTAAGCAGCAAATGTTTCTGTTTTGTTCCAGACATTGCCATTAACCTTCCAGGAAAGCAGACTTTGCTGGAGGATTTTGATAAAACAAAAATGCAGCTTATGCGCTGGAGTTTTAGGAAACCTTTCCACAGCCCCATGTCTGTGCACTATTTCTTGACCAGTATTTTTCTAAATGGTTTTATAAAGCCAAGTGAAACCCAAACTGGTCTCAGTGCTTTGCAGTTTTAGCTTTCAGTCTGTGCTCAGCAAAACAAGCACAAGAAGTTTTTGTTGAGTGTATATAGAAAATGTTATTATCGTTTGGGAGTTGTGTTGTTGCTAAAGCTTGAGCCTCTGGTGGAGCGTGGTGTGGCTTACCTTGCTGCTGGGGGACAGGCTCAGAGATGCTGCCTCACTGTCAGGCCTCAGTTCTTCTCACAGGAAGCATTTCCCGTTGTGAGTACCTTTCCCATACTGATCCGCTCACGTGAGTGATGTGGGTCATCTCCACAAGGGAATAAAGGATCGTTCAACACACAGATCACAGTGAAATGTTGTGAGTGCATCATGATCTGGAAGTACCTGAGTAGTGTGTGAAGTGCAGCAATGTGTCTTTGGTGAAAATGCACCTGCCGATGTCACGGGGACTCTGCGACGTTGGTCGTGTGAGGGTTGGTCTGGAGGTGATCACAGCTCTGTTCACTGAACTGCTTAGTTCATTCTCATCAATAAAACTTGCATTTCTTTCTTCCACAAAAGCAGGATTTACATTGATTTTTCTTGTTTCTGGTGAATTTAACTACTTTAGTGCATTCCTATGGCCTTACAAACATTTTTGCAAATAAAACTTCAATTACTGTTATTTTAATGCTATATATAGCTACTAAATTCAGAATAAAAAGTATAGTCCTTGAGAAAATGCTTAATTTTGAAATAGAAGTGTTCTACTGTGTGTGTTTAAGCACATTTTACCTCTGGTCTAAAGGTGTAATGTGAAAAGCTCCTGCAGATAAAAGTGAACTTGTTATGTGGTTAATTTGTAAACCTAATCATTAATTGTGTAATGATGTATATAGACAAAAAACAAGCCCAACCCCTAAAAAAACCTTCATAGTCCAATAGTTTTATTATTTCATGTGAACTTTTTTACAATGTGTGTCTCAAATAAAAGTTACGTAATGAAAAGCATTGGGAGCATTTTGTGTGAAATGTTTCAGGTGGTTTCCTGCAGTTGGCATTTCCACTCTGATCCTGATCCATCTGCTGTGGGAGGGTGTCCAGCTGAGCTGCATCTGCAAAGCTCTGCCTAACCAGCAATAAACCACAAGGGATGTTGTATGAAAAACTGTTCTTTGTTCCTGCAGCGATTGCTTAAATCTGATGTATTGTTCTGGTGACCTTCGTAAGAAACTGTTTTCCCAGACATCACAGAACACCCTTCCAGAGCAACCCCTGAGCAGTGCCCCAGAGTGACACGAGACACCATCTCTCTCCACTGGGTTCAGAGTTACCCACTCGCTGAAGACAGGAACATTTTCTGTTGCTGCTTGGAGGCTGTGACTGAGGGAACCTGAGGCCCAGATGTCATGAATCCATAGAGCAGTGTCCAGCTCCCTTCAGCACTGCGTGTTGAGGGATTTGGCAGATCCTTCTGAGCTCTTATATTGGCAATAGTTCTTGATTTTCAGATTCCTGTGGTTTGGTAGTAGCTCGCAATGGGTACAAGAATCAGTGAACCTGGGGGAGGAATGGTTTGTCTGCCCAGGACAAAAGCAGATTAATAGTTGAGGCAGATTTGTTGCTTTAGGACCAGTTGTCAGGTTTATGCTCTGACCCAGTAAAACACGGGTTAAGGGCAGGGCAGGCCCTGCCAGGCTGTCCCAGAATGTCCCAGAATGTCCCCAGCCACACTCTGCACAGCCCCTGATGTTTGGGTCAGTAGTATGTGACCACCCAATTTTGTAAATATTGTAATATACCAAAGACTATAGGAAACTAGTTTGGTAGGAAAACAATCCTTGAGTATAACACTCGACTTTCAATGCCTAGTTCCATAGTAAGTGTTCCAGCATTTGTGTTTATTTTTACGTTTCCTTTAGCTATTGTTCTCAGACTTGACTCTGGTGTGGAGAGGAAGCAAAAGAAGTGACAACTTTCCTGGCCTGATTCCTCAGCTCCAAGTCTCTAGATGGTGCCATTGCACTTCTCTGCAGTTGGAAACTCTCACATGCTATTTTGAGTAACAGTTCTTATGTTTTTGAAAGAAACAGTTGGACTTCTGAGTTCTTTTTTTTTGAAAATACTGCTTCTTTTTTTCCCCGATACTATGCAACACAGATGTTTTGATCAAACAAAACTAATATGTTAATGAAAATGTGCCAGATTTTAAAGTTCTGTTAAATTGTCATCAACCTCTAGTTCTCCATTTGTTTACATCTATGTCACTGTTGTGGCTGAGACCTGACTTGAGAAAAACACACACTGGAGTGTCGAATTGTCTGAGGGTCTTTTTCCTTTGCTGCCTGAGGTGTGTGTGCAGCTGCTGTGACACATCACCTGGGCTGAGGCACAGCTCTTTTCACCCTCTGGCTCTTGGCTCTGCATTCCTCTGGGTACTAAGAACTTACCAGAACTTAACATTTGCTTTGGTTGGGCATTTGCTTTGAGGTGTATGTATTAAAGTTGGTGCTTTGGGGTTTGTTTCATGCATTAGAGATGACACACACAGAAACTCGTGTGGCTCAGCTCTTCCTCCCAATTCTGGGACGTGTGCACTGAGCAAGACGTGCTGTACCTCTGCACAGTGGGGGAAATGTGAGCCCACGGTGGCTCTGGTGATCCCACCACACACACCTCCCAGCAGAGCAGTCCTGCCACTGCTCAGCCCCTGCAGACAGTCGTGCCAAGGTGACTGCAAACGTTGTTCTATGGGCTGTGATAGGATGTCCTGAATTTAAAAGAAAACCTCAGCGCTGCTTCTGAGAGAAGCTGCTGCCTGAAGAAGGCAGTCAGGCAGCAAAGCACCTCTGAGAGGGAGTTCTGTTTGTTTCCAGCAGTGAGCTCCTCGGTCTGGACCTGAGGTTAGTACCACACTCTGAGGTGTGCTGGCACAGACCTGGGGCATCACAAGAGCTCTGCACACCTTGTGGCATCTGACCCTTTCACTCCACTGCCTTTACTTATCTAGGCTTCATTTCTGCTACCAGAGTCTCAAAACTGGGCTGTTCCACTTGGAAAGAAGTGAATTGAGGCCTTTAAAGGAGAAAACACATGGGATAGGAGGTTTTTTATTTAAAATCACAAAGATGGTGGTGGTGTTACTGAACAAAAAATGGATCTAAGTTCAGACTGAAATTTCCCCACTAGTGTTTAGCAGCATTCAGACCTGAAGTTACTTCAGCCTGTGCTCGATCTCTTCCTGTGTGTATACTGCAGTACAAGCATTTCAGATCCTCATTTCAGATGTCACAGTCAAGAGGAATTCTGATACACTGGGACTAGGCTGGCTAGACCCTGTTCCTCCTGAAGTCAATGATATTTCACATTGTCTTCAGTGGAAACAGGGTTAGGTTTATTCTTCTCACTTTGAAAGATGTATAATGAGTCTTGAGTATCTAGCTTACAAGGATTGAAAAGATAATTTAGATTACTTTCTAGGAACTAAATCAGCAAAACCATCTACTGTGTAATTGCAGCTGTAATATATACTGCAAAATCAATCAGGATTTCATGATTAAATGGCAAGTCTGCTGAAAAGCAGCAGCAACTGCATTATCTCCACATCATTCACACACACACTATAAATAAGAACAGGATAGTAACAAGATGCATCTCTGATTCCAGTGACAGGGGCTGACCTCCCTAGCAGGTCTGTGGGTACTCTCTGAGTAATGCCTGGAAAATGAGCTGTTCCTCTAGCAGTAGTTTTTTTTCAGCACTGAGTTCCTGAGTTTGAGCCCCATTAATAAACCATGTAGCTCTCACTGAATTTACACTAGTCTTTGCCTCTAATGTTTCTGTTACAAATCCACTGGTGACTGCACTAGCATCACTGGTTGTGATTTCACGAACTGTGTGGGCTGAACAGCCCAGTTCAGATTCTGATCACAAACACACATTGCCCTTTATCTTGTTTACATTCATAATGCTGAAACCAATACCTGGAATTAGCAGGGAAGTGTGTGTGTAGCTCGTTGAGTGTCTTCAGATTTGAATGCCTGTGGGAAAACCTGTGATAACACCAGCTATAGAACTGGAGTTTGGGATTAACTGTAAAATCCATTCAAACACCAGACTCAGTAAGCAGCAGACATGAAAAGAATGTGGTGAGGAATTCAGCTCAGGGGTATTCGCTGATGTGTCTCCCTGGAAAACAATAGAACAAGGGCTACAGAAAACTTTTGGCTGGAAAGTGTTTTTAAGGACTCTCTTGAGGCTTATGATTAGCCAAGAACCAGATCTGTGTTTCACCAGTCCGAAATAAATCAGTGCTGTGAATGGAAAGGAGCTTTGTGACGGAGCAGGGCGTCAAAGTTTGGAGATTTCTTCTTCCTCCTTGTCCTGCCCTGGTTTGTAGGGGACTCCTCTGTTGTCTCGCCCCCACTTTTTGCAGCTAAAATTAAAAAAAGGGCATTAAATAACTGTAATGCCAATGAAGGGAAAGCACCATCAGTTACCTGAAATGGTCCATTATGAGGTGTCTCTGTAGAGGGGAATGTCCCAGACAGTGCAGGGGGATGGATGACACTGTGTGCAGAGCCAAGGCTGCAGGCTCAGGCTCTGGGACAGTTTGCAATCTCAGGGGTTTACTCAGGGCTTGGCTTTGTGGGCAAACAGTAGTGAAATGATCTTTGGGCAGTACATATTTCTGAAATGATGTGACCTTTGTGAGAGGTTTTTCTATAATTCCTTTCTCCTCGTTTCACTTACTGTTCTAGGAGAAATTAAAGGATTTGGAAAGCAACCAGGAGCAGCAATGCTAGCAAAGAGAACAAATGGCAATAGAGAAACAAAACCTGGGTAAGTCTGTGGTCAGCCCAGTTTGCCTGTCCTGTCAGCCTGCAAAGGGAGACTCAGTTCCTCACTGCTGGTGGGAACAGTCAGTGCCTACAGCAAAGAGTGTTTGTGCTCTCCCTGATGCTCACATACAATTCTCTGTTTCCTGCCCTTGTGTCTTTCAGGGGCTTACTCGAGCACTGTTCCAGGAACTATTCTTGGGAAAAAAGCCATGTATTTTTTGCTTTTCACAAAACCAGCCATTCCTACACTGGCAGAACAGAGGCCACTGAGGCACAAAGGCTGCAGCACACAGAGACCTTTTGGCCCAGTAAGTAAACTTTGCTGACCATACAATAGAATGACTTTGGAGTAAATGATACAGGAGAAATAATGCCCACAGTGATCAAAACATATTAGAGCTTGCAGGAAGAGATCATGTCTTATAAAAAAGATCAAACATTACCAGTGTTAAAAATGTGCACAGTTTTGGACACACAAGCACTTCTTTGTGTCAGAGGGAAAATTTGGTTTGACTTCTTTTGTTGTGGTGTTGACAGCATCTTACCTTTTCTTCAGCAGCCAGAAGATTACTGCAAGAATGGTGAGAACTCCCAGAACACAACTGATCACAACAGAAACAAGAAAACCTGGGAAAAGAGAGACAGTGTCCGAAACAGTTAACACCATCGACTGCAGAGAAGGTTAGTCTCTAATCTGTCTTAGCATTTGCTTTCAGCATCTGCAGCTCTCCTACATCCTGCTCATTCCACGTGCTGGTTCTGGAATGGATCACTGTGTGATGGACTCTGGAGGATCCTAATCCCACAGTGTGCAGAGGGTGAGGTTAGACACGTGCCCAGGTCACAGAGCCAACAATACCTTGTTCTTTTACAGCTGCCCATGCAACAACACAGTGAGAGAGGAAAAGGGGCTGACGTGAACTGCAGGAGAAGGAGATGTATTTTTAGAGTGGCTCAGTGCCCCAGGACTGCTGTGGTGCTCCAAGCACACCTAAATCACCATGCACTGGTTCTGTGCACAGAAGCAATCGTTCAGCTTACCCTCCTGGAAGGAGATGAAAACCAGTCTCTCGTGAAATTCCTGAACGTTTCTGAAGTTATCAACCATTTCCAGGGGTTCTGGGTCATCCCTCTCTGTGCAGTACATGGCTGTTTCCAGTGCCAGGAGCTGCAAAGGGAAGAGCTCTGCTCAGCTCCCAGAACACAGGGAAACCCACACCAGTGTGTGGGCACTGCAGTGTGTTTGGCATCGCAGGAGGAGTCAGAGGGACACCTTAAGTAATGCTTCAGTTTTGTGTGGCTTGTGAGCCCAAAGACAGAAAAATGTGTAAGCACAGTGACATCTCCAGATCCACATCTGTATTTTGTTTATATCCTGGTGAAATTAATCCTGCCTAGTATTTATTTGCCAGGAAAACTGGATGGGAGGAAATGTGGTGACCTTTTCCAGTGTGTTCTCCTTAGCACAGTCCAGCTCCTGAGCAACATTAAAATTCTACTTTATGAAAAAACTCTGTTCTGGAATAACATGATCTGGCAGTGTGGAGCAAGGAAGGCAAGAATGGATTTTCATAAGGAGCACATGGTAATTTGATAATAACATTTTCCCCCTGTGTTTATAGTGAGGTGAATCAGAAGATAGTGACTGTGAGTTTATAGTCTGTGTAAGTGGCCACCTAAGAACAGCAGAGGTTAGTTAGATGAGCACAAAAAATATAAGTTGGGAGAAAAGCTAGGGGCTTCAAGGCTGACAAATAACACATCACATGCCCTTTAGAAACTGAACATCTCCCCAGCCTATCACACCTGAGTCATCCCGGAGCAAAGGAGCACTAAAATACTCAGTGAATAGGGTTGGGCCTGCACAAAATACTCTGCAAGGGACCCATGGGAAGACTTAAGGCAGGAAGTACATAGTGAAAACAGAAATTAGTCTCACTTGACTGATCTTTTTCAAGCTGATACTGTACCAATTGCTGTGCTATTGTCTGTCATTTGTTTATTCTGGTCAAGTGAAAACATGCTAAGTACATATAGAATAGGACATTGATTTATGTCACTTCTGTGCTGTTCTTCCCACTTAAAGGATTTTAGCAATGGTCACCTATCAGTTTTATAGGAACATAAGAGAAATCAAGGAAATGAGAGTATGCATTTACATTCTTTAGCAGACACCAGTCAGGAGGACATGTGCTTATTGAAACTTGCCTGCTCCTGTGAAATTGTGACAGGGTGTCTGAAAACTGTCCAGAGCACACTAGGGTAGCAGGGAGGAGTTGTCAGGGATCCTTCATAGCGATAATACTCATCCAGTCTGTCAGGAAGCAGCTCTTGAACATTGAAACCAGGGACTTTGACCATCTGATCTGAAAAAGGGGATTGGTGTTAAATGCTGCACCATTACTACTCAGCTCTGGTTCCACTGAAGTGAGTTTGCTTTTCAGTAAGTAGAATGTTTTTACTGTCTTATCACTAGGATAAGAAAAACACCTTTTAGCAGAGATTATCCCAGTTTAATAAGGAATACAGCTCTTTAGGTTTCCTATGTGCAAATCTTGTCTTAAATACTAGATCAGGACTGTGCAAGATAAACTGTGGCAATATGAACAAAAAGGAACAAGGCCCAGTCAGAGACACGTGGGGCAGGTTGGCCAGGTGCTCTTCCCAGAGAGGCACTGCACTGTCAGTCTCACAGTTTGGCACAGACCTGCTCAGGATCTCTGGGCTGTTTTTCAGAGTTCAGCCCCTCTCAGGGTGACAGCTGATACTCCTAACCATTCCCAGTCTGACACAGCTTTCTATCCACTCACCCTTGTATTTCACATTCCGAAAGTGCTTGAAGATCTTCTCATAGGATGGATTGAAGGCTCCAATCTGCAATGATCAGACTGTTAACAGCTGTGCAAATCCCCACACTGACTAATCCCTGTGGCTTCTGCACACAGCAGGATTTGATGGGCTCTGTCATAAGGCAAATGCTGCACTGTCCAGACACTGATGGACTGGAATGGCATAAGTACATTTTTAACTCAGCATTAACAGTGTCCTCAGAACCACAATTTTGCTCCTACTCCAGAGCTATTGGAGATGCTTTGTCATAATGTTGTCTTAACCACTGCAGTGTGGATCTCTTGTGTGCACTCAGAAGACTCTCCTGCCCTTGCCTGGTCAGCCTGCTGAGCAAATGAAGAGAAACCATTTCCCCTGAGAACATTGCAGGCAGAGGTTCTCAGCTGACAGGCTGCTCAGAGCATCTGCTGGTTTCTAGTTCTCAGCTGACAGGTTTCCCAGAGCATCTGCTGGTTTCTAGTCAAAGCCACATTTTTCCACCCACAAACATCATTTAGTCTGCTGCTCCTCACAGTCCAGGGAGGTAAAGAATGACACTGTTGGGAGCCACAGGCCACTGGCAAGGGCTGCAACCCAACTACCAAACAAGGCCATGGTTTTCAACTGCTACCAGCAGCTTTTCAGTCTAATAATCAATGCCCCTTTTATGGATTCTTCAGTGCTGGGGTTGAATATCTGGCTGTCCAACCACCAGGCATAGTAAACTGGTGTCTGGAGGTGAACTGTAATAGCCCCCAGCTGTCTGAAAGGTTTTCAAACCCCTAATCTCTGTTGTTCCCTAACTTGATCTTTAAACACCACTGCTTAGAAATAACCAGAATCCTGCTATTATTCCCTAGCATAATATACAGTACTCTGACACTTTTCACAGCTGCAGCTTCCAAATGAACTAAAATGTAGCACAGAATTACTGTCAAATTGCTGCTAGGAAGTGAACTTGGATAATATCAGAGAGCTTTGCCGCTAACTAGAACATTTTCACTGTTTTGATGGAAATGTGAAAACCTGTGGGTTTGGGTTTTTTGGGCCACAGAAAATCCTCACGTTTAAAAATTATCCTTACAGTTCTTCGATTGAGTTTTACTCCTTAAGGAAAAGGAGAATTATATATGTACAAGCTACTAAAAAATTTTTGTTCCAAATCATTATTAACTTTCTTTGTATGTTGGGTTTTAGAGAGGAAAATTGGAAAGGTGTCCTTGTCATCATGAAAATGTTACTGAATGTACTTGTTTACTGTAATCTGTGGTTCAAAGAATCTGGGAAGTTGGTGACCTGTGGTTAAATCCTCGTTGCATACAGGGCTGTGCCTGCCCATGCCTGTCTGCTGTGCCAAAGCTGCTTCATGCCACAGCTCCCAGGGAGGGTGCTCGAAATTCACTGCTGCCTGTGGCTGGGTAAGCTCTCCCAACAATTAGTGTGTGAATTAATGCAAAAATGGATTTTTCATAGCTGAAGTTGATTTACTGAAAAACATGAGGAAATGCTCAAAATTCCTTTTTTCTTAAATTCGCTCCTGTTCGTGTATGTGCTGCTGGAATCTGACCCTTTTGTGTGAAAGAGAGAAGGAAGAACCTTTATTCAGTCACAGTATTGTTAAATAATTGAGGCAATTTTGTACGTGAAAGTTCTGTCATGACTTAACGATGGAAAGAACAACAACAGAATGAAGATCCTGCATCCTACCTCAAGGAGAACAGCCAGAACTGCCAATCCATCTGTCTTGTCCATCGCTGCTGCTATATCTGGGTACTTCTCAGAGTTGTAGTGTACAATGTGCAGCTGCAGAGGAGAAGATACTTTGCTGTGGTGACATCCGAGTCGTGCTCACATCTCTGATCCACAGCTAGAAAGGACCAGTGTAGCCACCTCGGGACAGAGCAGCACAGAGAGGTCCCTCAGGGACGTCTGGGCTTGGTGGTGAGACCTTCTCAGTGCAGAGCCAAAGGTGCCAGGACTCCCAGCCCAGCCTGGTTTGGTGCCTGCTGTGAGCTGCTCTTACCTCTGCTGCGAAATGCTTCCCGCTGACCGTGTGCTCGGAGCCCCCCGAGCGGTTCTGGCTCCCCCAGTGCAGGTGCAGTTGGGATGCAGAGTACAAGAACGGGAGCTTTCTCAGGGACATGGTCGGGGACAGATACATTTTCACTGTAAGCAAGTCAGAACCAGATGGGAGCAAATCACACCACAGCTCACAACAACAGGACAAAGAAAAATACTCTGAGTATATTGCCTAAGAAACATGAACAAAGCAGATTCTTAAATCCATCTTAATCTTTGGTAGGAGATAAACATTTCAGTTGTCTTTAACCCTTTCTGGATAAATCAGGAGAATTCCAAACATGCCCTTTTTGTTTTCTTAAATAAAGGAATTTTGCACATGGCAAAACCAAACAAACTTCTCCCTCTCCTTGCTGCTCCCCAAACCCACAACATTCATGTCACATAGCAAGATAGTCCCAGGCCTTAAAAATTAGCATTTCCTCTCTTTCCATGCTGGAGGGAGAGCTGAGTATGCATTGCCCTCCCTTCTGCTCACTAATGCTCTGCAGTGGGGAAGACAGGCTGGGGTTTATTTGGGGATTTTTTGGTGTAGAAATTACAGCAGTAATTCTCAACTCAGCAGAAACTTCTGTGGTTCACTTGAGAAGTTCGATGCTTCATAAAGCAATAGCTTATTGTCCTAGGTTACAATGTGGGGTGTAACCAATGCTGTGTATTCTATTCTCATCTTCCCAAACTGTCAAAGCAGGTGGGGCAGTGCTTGTTATCTCCTCCTCATCCCTGATAACTCCCTCAGGAGCTGTCTCTGTTCAATGGGCTGTCAGGGACCCACTGCAGGACCCATGGAATTACATCGTCCCACTGGGAGATGCTTCACCCCAGGGAGGGAGCCAAGCATTCCCCCCTGGATATAATCTGGGGCTTGGACCAGCACAGAGCCATTACCTGCTGGATTCCCAGAGGACAAGAGCTGCCCCTGGACCTTCAGGTGAGGAGCAGCTCTCCAGGGTCACTGCTCCAACAGACCCATCACTCCAGGAGATGCAGCCACCATTTAATGGGACTGTTGGACCCTGAGACAAGAGCTGCCCCTGGACCTTCAGGTGAGGAGCAGCTCTCCAGGGTCACTGCTCCAACAAACCCATCACTCCAGGAGGTGCAGACCCCATTTCATGGGACTATTCCCAACACCCTGACTGACAGGGTGTCACCTTGCTTTCTGACTCTGGCAGTGGTTTCTTTTTGTACCATTGCATTTATTGTTTTGTTTTCCCTATTAAGTTGTATTTCTGACTTGGGGTCTCTCAGTGGTTTGCTTTCAAACCAGGACACTGATGTAAAGAACAGAGCGGTTTCTTCGCAATTAATCTGTATTGTTTTCTAGTGTGAATACAGTTTGTTTCTGGAGTGTCCCAGTCATATTTTTCAGGGGAACCAAGCTCAAAACCTTAGTGAAGGAACAGCTGGTGGAAGGAACCGTAATGTTTCTGTGCTGGCCCTAAAAAGGGTTTTTTGAGGTTTTTTCCAGTGTAGCTGAAGCAGGTGATTGTGTCTGGGTGAGCTGGCTGGTGGAGCACAGGAATTACATGTTGGGGTGACATAGTCCAATGCTAAGCATCCTGCTGATTTCCTCTCTAGCTACAAGAGAAGGTAGCAGTAGATGGTATAAGGATCACTCCAACAGAGGCTAATATTTCATTGCTCAGAGCAATTCATTTGTATCTAAGTGAAATTTCTAGAGTAGGTTACATCTCCTCTGCTTCCTAGGAGGACACTGACCTTAGAAATGAATTCCCATTTTTGCTCAGGTGGGATATATATTTGTCTTTCATTTGGAAGTAGTTAAACTTCTTTTAGAGGCAAGATCTGACAATGATAGTGACATAGGCTCTACAAGGAATTTGCCTTTACCTGCGAGGCTCCTACATGAGGTACAGGCTCTCAGTGCTGTTCTTTTGTCTCCCTCTGCTCTCTGGCACTGTTCAAGTCCACAGTGTCAATGTTTCCTTCACTGCCTGTTGCCTCTAACTTACATCAGCCCAATACATTTGTCTGTGGCAGTACAGTCTTTCATTTGGGACCAAGAAGGACTTTTAGAAAAAGAAGGTTCAGAAGGAGAGGGTGTTCCCATCACTCCTAGTCTAAAGCAACCTGGTTTTGATGGAGAAATTGGTCAAGAGGCCAACCAGGAATCACACCTTAAGGGGTTGGCCCTGACTGAAGAATGGCCTTATGATGTTCAGCAAAGCAGGTTTACCCCACTGAAAGAATGAGAACGAGATTTATGCACGTTGAGCACTTTAAATCAAGCATGCCAGAGAAGAGCAGAAACCATTTTCTAACACAGGTTATTTTGGTTCTTATGCAATCGAGGAGGATACAAAGAAGGAGGGCCTTGTAACTGTTCTTGTTTCTGTCTTCAAATATTTTAGGAAGGAACAAAAAATGGTGGGATTATCTTACTGGTGTTGTATATGGTGTCAGCATAGTAGATCTTTATGAAACTGCATCTTCCCTGCTTTGACCTACTGTGCTGCTGGGGAGGGCATGTTCAGACACTATTTGTAACCATTCTTCTGTCTCCTTACCTGTCTAGCTTGTCTTACATGAAAGAGTTTTTTTCTCAAGTCAAAGGGACAGAATGGTGCTCCTAGCTTTTCTTCTTCCTTCCCCCACATAAGTCAGTTGAGCTGCTCTGATTAGGCTGGAATGTCAGAGGCCTATTGCACCCATATTTTATCAGTTTAACTCTTTCTAATAGAATCACAAAGTCTGTTTCTGTTTTGGAGCATCACAACCAGAGAAATGAGGAAAAACTCAGAAACTAATTCTGACATGCCTAGAGTTTATTTAGAAACTCTCTGTTTAAAATTTGGCTTACTGGGAATCCATTTGTACTTAGCACATTCCCAGGTTGCCCTACCTGTTCTGTAGGTGTAAGTATGTTGATGTGAGGGCTTTGTCATCACAGCTTCATTTCATCTGTTAACCAAAGTAGTTCACCCACAAAGTAAAAACCCCACGAGCTCCTGCAACTCTTTGCTTCACAATTCCTTGTGCCCATTGAGCTCCCTTACCTGAGTGACCATTATTGGTCAATGTGAACTGCTCAGTGGGGGACACGTTATAGCCTATGAATTCTAAAGGCAAGAGATTAGAATCATACTGGAGAATATCTTTGTGGAAATCAATCGGTGATTGGAACACTCCTCCACAAAATGGGTATTTCTTTGGCCAGGCCTTCTCTCCATCGGGACCTGTGGAAACAGAGACACAACTGTCAACACATGGACATAACCCCCCTGTGACAGCCTTCACACAAAATTTGGAAAAGAAGCTTTTTATGAATTGTCAAGGCTTTTTTTTTTTCTTCTTCAAACTTCATTTTATCTTTGCAGTGCACAGATAAAGGACCAAATGCCAGCAAAGACCTGGCACAGAGCCTTGGCTGCCCCTGGACCTTCCGCAGTCCCAGTGGCTTTGGGCTCACCCTGGGGAGCACAGACCTTGCAGCTCTCCAGGCTGGGCCTGAGGCAGCAGCACCACACCAGGCACAGTGCCCTGCCCCTCTGGCACTGCCTCTGCTCACAGATCTGTTCCTTACTGCCCAGTCTGGCTCCATCCAGCAAGTCTGCATAGCACACAGTGAAAAGCTGACTTAGGTTGTGGTAATTTGACCTGCAATAACTTGCTCAAACTCTGGTGAAACTCTTCCTCATCACAAACTTTTGCCCGAGGTAGGATCTACAAAGAATAGATAATATCAAGAGAATTTTAATTGTGCCTTTGATTTAATGACACATTACCAGCTAACAGCTGTTCCCAAACCGTAATCTGAGACTATTTGGATTTAAATATCAAAAGAGGTACTTGCAACTAATGTTCCTCCTTGTCTCTGAACACTGATGTGATTCTTTCTAAGGCCTTTTTGGGGAAGGTCTGTTGGGGTCACCCAGCCTGACCTGTCTAACACAGGACACTGGGACTCCCTGGATCGATTTCTGCTCCAGTGAGGGCATCTCTTTCAGCAGGGAATGAACATTTCTCTTCCTGTAAGCACTGCAAAGCACTGTGCCCTGTTTCCAGCCAGCTGGCAGCTGCCAGGCTGTCTTTGGGCCAGGCTGGCTGGTGCTGGGGGCTCTGTCCAGGTGCCAGGTGAGCATTTGGTGTCCAGCCCATGGCGCGGGCAGAGCTCAGGGGTGTTGGTGCTGGGGGCTGTGTACTTGGTGTCCATCCCATGGCACGGGCAGAGCTCAGGGGTGTTGTTGGTGCTGGGGGTTG